TGTTATGTAATATTATTGTATGTTATTAAAGAAGAGAGAAGTGATTTACAAAAACAGAGAACTGATTTCTATGTATTGCTTACCTTTATTACAAGAGGGTGATAGGGCTTTACTAGTAAATTGCCTTAATAACCTGCAAGAGAGATGCTATAGGAAAATACAGGAATGTATGGTTTTTACTGTGTACTGGTAATAATAATTGATCCTATAGGTTTATTTTAACCTTCTTTTTTTTATTTATTGTTATTACAGCCTTCTGTGCTGTGAGCCGCAATATTTAAAACCTCATTAAGCTTCCAACCTTATAGTTAACCTTTTAGCTCACCATTTCCTTCTCGGTGGTAGGTCTGGAAGCAAAGATCTAAGCACTGGAGGTCACTGGATTATTATTGCAACACTCATCCTGCAGTAGACAGCCCTACTACCCTTTCCATGAAGGAAAGATGCACAGAGAGCCCGTATCAGGACAGAGACATAGGCTGAATGTGAGCAAGAGTATGTCTTGTTGCTTTTGTAGGAAGTCCTAACAATGCCCTGTTACTATATTCAAGGAAAAGAGCCTAAAATATGGCCAGGCAGTAGAGCCAGACACAGAAAAGACTACAGACCTGACAATAGGCAGAATACAAATTTTAGGGGGGACTTAGGATTTAGGACTCTTGTGAAGCTTTGTGCAATGTGTGGTGACAATGCATATACCACCTTTATTAAATATTGATGGTTTTCTTTATCTTCACATTTCAGTAGATTATTCTTTTCCATTCTGTTTTTGTCTTGTTTATGAGAGAAAACAAGTGAACAGTGATTTAAGTGTTCTTGAAATTAATTCAAAGAGATGATTTCTTAAAAGGATTATAATAGTCCCAAAATTAGAGCAAATGAAACATTGTTCTGTCTGTCCACAACAATAACCATTTTATGAAGGGTAAATAGTCCTCTGACCTGGGCCCTTCACAAGCCTTATCTCAGCTCTGCCAGAGACAGCAGCTCACAGCAATAGAAATTACCCTAACGAAAATGTGGTCCTCCTGCCTCTAGGAGTTCTGGTTATGGCAATCAACCACCTGTCACCGTTTGACTCAGGTCCGACATCCCTTCAAAAAACATCTTGAAATCTTCACGTGTCTATGTGCATTATAACAAAACCCATTGGGTCCTCCCAACAGTTTGGGTTTGAGGCACTGAAGACTGAAAGACAAAAGTGTGTAATGATCATCTGTTTTATCTGACACATTATATACAGTAAGAAAGGTGTAAAGGAGCAGCCCGGGACACTGTGTTCATATATTTTACTTCTGGTAATCATTCATGGCTGATCACTTAATAGAAAATTTTACTTCTGAGATAAAGCTGATAGAAAACCTGTGTAATGATCTCCTGCAACCCTTTGGTAGTCCTAAACTCTGCACAGCTATGTACTGGCCCCTCTGGAAGCTCTCCCGAGTACTTCAGGTGTGCACAGAGTAACTGCTGAGCCAAGTGTGTTCAAGACTCAGAGGTACCTTTGGTATAACAGACACCATAAGCCTAGAATTAGCCAGTTTTTAATCTTAGATATGGCAGTGACCAACTTTACAAAGGGTCACAAACAACTAGTTATTTATTTTTCACATAACTTTTCTTTATTCTAAAAAAATGCCAGAACTTCTTTTGTAGCCTGTGAAATACTGTTCTTGTATTTTGATCCTCTGGTATGTGCCATGAGAATTGGGGTTGTTTAGCCTGGAGAAGAGGAGACTCAGGGGGGACCTTATCACTCTCTTCAACTACCTGAAGGGAAGTTGTAGTCAGGTGGGGGCTGGGCTCTTCTCCGAGGCAACTAGGATAGGATGAAAGGGCATGGCCTGAAGCTGTGCCAGGGAAGGTTTAGGTTGGATATTAGGAAGCAATTCCTCACAAAGAGGGTGATTAGACATTGGAATGGTCTTCCCAGGGAAGTGGTGGAGGCACAGTCCCTGGGTGTGTTCAAGGAAAGGCTGGATGTGGTACTTAGTGCCATGGTCTGGCTGTTGTGGTGGTGTTAGGTCATAGGCTGGACTTTATGATCTTAAAGGTCTTTTCCAGCCTTAGTGATTCTGTGATTACAAAGTGTCACCATAATATGAAGACACTGCTTTATTTAGAACACACAGAGGTGTGAAAAACATCCACACCGTGAGGCACTACACCTCACCCTCAAGCCATGCCAGCAGCCCCGTCTGGGCCATCAGCACACAATCAGTTTTTCTTCAAGTTGCAACTGCACTTCGTAACCCCACAACGTTGTTTTATGTATACAAAATGATTCACCAAATTATCCACCCACAGTGACTCCAAGCCATGACCTGTGTGTCTTTTCCAGAAGAGAGAGAGGGGGCAGGATGCAAGATGATAAGCAAAAGATTAACTCAGGTTTAGTAGCGCCATTATGATGAGTCAGAAGGGATCATGAGTTCCTGTTGCTAGAATCCTTCTCTAGCATTTGTGCATATGGGCTATATTCAGCATTGTTGCCTGTTTTTAAAAAATGGCAGAGCTAGCTAAATATCTGACAGGAGATAGGAGATTGAACTGAGCTAGGAGATCAGCAGTCATGGACATGCTGAGGAAGACATATTCACAGTCCTGGCCATACAGAGGCACCAGTGTCATTTCAACCCTAAACACACTAGTTTCTAGACAGATTTGGGTTACTTGTCCACTAATACCTCAGCATGCAACCAGTACTGAGTGTCCCAGAAGGGCCACAAGCAGGACGACAGTCTGTCTCTGCAAGACAGAAGGGACAAGAGGAATGCGGATGCTGTGGCATAGGATCATTCATCTCTCACAGAATTCACAGAATTTTTGGAGTTGGAAGGGACCTTAAAGATCATTCAGTTTCAACTCCCCTGCATGGGCAGGGACACCTCCCACTAGAACAGGCTACTAAAAGCCACATCCAGCCTGCCCTTGACCACGTCCAGGGATGGAGCCCCCACAGCATCTCTGGGCAGCCTGTTCCAGTGTCTCACCACCCTCACACTGAAAAATTTCTTCCTAATGTCCAACCTGAATCTACCCTCTTCCAGTTTAAATGGCAAAGGATAGGCATTTACACTGAAGAATTTACGCGTGATCTCTAACCTAAATCTCTCTTCTTTTAGCTTAAAACCATTACCCCTCGTCCTCTCACTGCAGGCCCCTGTAAAAAGACCCTCCCCAGCTTTCCTGTAGCCCCTTCAGGTTCTGGAAGGCCACTGTGAGGTCTCCCTGGAGCCTTCCCTGCTTCAGACTGAACAGCCCTACAGGTGGGACAGGAGGTGGGACAGCTGGCAGTGCTGGGGGTGAGCAGGGTGCCAGGGAATGGGGAACCAGCCCCTCCGGCCCGGGCCAGAGGTGCCTCCTCGCAGGGCCCCGCGGAAGCGCTGGCTGCACGAGGGGCTTCGCTGTGAGAGGAGCTGGTGACTCCGAGAAACACGCCACTTGAACCCAGGGCTGGTGTATGTTTGTGAAGGTTAGGCCAACTGAGGCTCCTAAGTCAATGAGAGAAACACGTTATCCTGTTGCGTTTGTGTCCAAAGGGGGTTGCCAGTTTTTTTCCAACAGAAGCCACTGGCTCCTGGCAAGCGCTTGACTCCTGCTGGTGCCCTGCAGAGATGGAGTATCATCATCCCTGATTCTTGCAGGGGACAGCCGAGGGGCACACCTGACATGCGAGGACCTTGAGGATGCAGAAGCCAAGTAGATAAACGTTTTATTATTTTACTTTATTTAATTCCACAGCTGATGCCTTGGGGCTGGCAGAAGGGCGCTGTGGAAGGCCTGGGACAGCCACAGGCCCCTGGCTCTGGAAAGCCGGGACAGCGGCCCGCAGCAAGGGCTGCCCCCCGGCCGCGGCCCCGCACCCGGGGCGGGCTCGGGGCCCCGCAACCCGCCGCCCGCGCCCAAGATGGCCGCCGGCCTCGAAGCCGCGGGGCTTGCCCTTAGCCAACATGGCCGCCCCGCCCCTATGGCTTCCGACCGCAGCGCGGCGAGTTTGCCCACACTCAAGATGGCGGCGCCGGGGGAGCCGTGGCTGCGGTGACGGGACGGGACGCGGCGCTGAGCGAGCAGCCGGCAGAGGTGAGGCGGAGAGAGGCGAGGCGAAGCTGCGCTGCCGACACGGGAGGCTCCCCGCCGGTCTGCGGAGAGCCGGGTGCCCGCCGGGCTGTGAGATGGCGGGTGGGGGCCTGGTCGGTGCCGGTGCGGTGCGGCGGGGCCTGCGGGCTGCCAGGCTCCGGGCAGGAGTGTCCCCAAGAAGAGCGGGATGGCTCCTGTGGCCCTCGGGTCCCTCGGGGCCGACACTGACTCTGCAAGAAACGGCACTCGTGGGTCGTGAGAACTTCCCCCAGTGGGACTGACTGTTGGGGAGGGAGCTTGTAAGGTGTTTTTTTCAGCAGCAAAGGTGAAATAATCCGTTGTGTCTTCTTCCCTCTGGAGTAGAACTAGCTAATTCGTTATTTAAAATATACGCTAGTGTTTCTGTTCAAGATGTATAAGGTGCTTAAGTGTTTGGCATAACCAGAGAACTGAAAATCAAAGGTGATTGGCAGTTATCAGCTCTGCAGGCAGTTACCTGTGTGTATAACTTCGTGCACTGCATGGAGACTGTGTAGGGCTGTTCATCAGCTGGTATCAGAATCCAGTCATAAAGCTGTTTCTGCCTGCTCTTTGTGTACTGGCAACATTTAAAAATGTTAATTTGACCTGCAGGTGTGTGTCGCTGCTATGGGAAGGAAAAATCATTGTCCTTGTCAAGTACAGAAGTTGCCTTACCCGTGATGATCTTACTGTCTTCTCTTGACAGGTGCAGCCTGATGGTAAACAGCATCCATATGGGAACAAATGTACAGTTGGATAGTCAGCTGCATACATCACTTCTCATCAGAACATGCATTTTCTGCCTATATGTCTAAATTGACATTTAGCCAGAGGGGCTTTTGAGAGTTTCTCAGTGTACTTTAACCACATTAACAGAGGTCATCATCATCACTGCTGTTATGTCCTGGGTACAAGTTGCAGTCAGCCGATCTGGTGAGGATATCTTTGACGAAGATGCAGATGAGATGTACCTACTACAGAAAGAATGGAACAGCACCATGAAAAAAAGATTGAAGGTATTTCTCTGACTTACTAGTCTTTTTAACCATTTTAGGTGTACTGACACACACTTCGATATACATATGGCTGATATAAAGGGGAAGACAAAGAGTGACTGTGTAACAGTTATCATGGCTTAGTTTTTTCTGAATGTTGGAAAGATATATTGGGGGTTTCACAGAAACTACCCTAGTAGTTGTCACAACAAAGTACTGTTTTGCCAAGAGACAACCATGTGCATTTGTAAAAGGCAGTACTAAATTCTGATGCAAGCCATTTGCATCTTACTTGCAGGAATACCACTAGTTCCTGTAGGGCAACACAGCCAAACAAAGAAATATGAGGTGTTTGGGTTTATTAAGTAGACATTTTTAGTCAGATTTAAGACACATGGTTGCATGTGGAACTACAATTGAACATTGTGTTTGGGGTAGTTCTTTGGTTTATTTATTCTCCTAGTGAAAATATGTTTATGAAAGCTGATTTACCCAGCCCTTCCCTTCTTGGAATTCTACAGTGAACAAAACAAATCCATAAACCCGGATTACTTCATCAGGTACATGATCATTGAGAGTGGGACTGGGATGGAAGCTGTTGTGTAGGCTGTTGATGAGGAAGGGTATCGCAACAGAGGTGTATTACTCTTCAAGGAAAAGTCTCTTGCATCTGAGTCCCTCGAAAAGACTGGATTTCTTAAGGGACTATTTAGTGTTCTTACACAAATTCCTCTGGTACTTTATGAGTAGATAACTGCAAAATCATAAAATGTTATTGAGGCTAGAGCTACATGTTGGACAAAATAACAAAACATTCTCATTCCCAGCTATTTCTCTAGCAAGGCCACAAGTTTTCTTGTCTTGTGAGCAAATAGAAGTCTTCACTCTTACAACTTGCAATTTTCATGTGAAACAAGTTAAGAGTTATTCTACGTTATATGGTAATGTGATTAGGATATAAGGAAAGTAATTGGCATTACAATCATCTGCTGTTTCTTACAGTAAGTAATGACATGTTATGTGTATATGTGGCTCACTCCCTTCACCATCCTTTTTCACATATAACTCTTGAATTGAGTGAGATCCAGCAAATAGAGTAACAAGGCTTAATAATCGATTTTGTGAAAACAGGTACATGGTTTACAGTTATGAGAGCACCCTCTGCTAAAGGAGAGGTTCTGCATCCTATCTATTTTTAAATGTGTAAGAAACTACACAAAGCTATTCTTCAAAAAAATGTTCATAAGGGAGTTGGTCATCACAAAAGCAAGCATGTTTCCCTGCAGATGTGTCTTAATTTTTGATGTTTCTAGAAATACTTTTCTCATCCCCTTGCTGGGGACCATTTTAGAAAGGAACTGAATCTTGCAGATCAGTAAATCATAATGCACTGCAAAAAAACATATTTTGGTTTGGCAGCTGCGGAGTAGCTGGGAGAGATCTTCGAACTTAGAAGCTGTAATTTAAGAGATTGAATACTTGTTTAAACTTTTTTTTTTATTGTGAAATCATCACATTTTTTCACATTGTAAACAACCTGTTTCACTATTTCTATCATAGGAGGGCTATATGGATGGAATTGAGGCTGGGAAAGAGCTTGCGCTCCAGGAAGGCTTCAATCAAGGTTATAGACATGGTGCTCAGCTGATGGTTACCTGTGGCCAATTCAGAGGAACCCTGAAGTAAGTTAAAAACCTTTTAAGGTCATGTATGGGTAGGGGGTGTATATGGAGGGAGCGTACATGCAGTTTTTTTGTTTGTTTTAATTGGAAAAAAAAAGGTGCATTTTGGATCTGTCCAAAGTGAACAAACTGAGAATTCTCCGATCTTGAATATGGGGGCGTAGAGTGGTCACTCTTAAAAATATCCTCTTTCATCTGCTCTTTGAGAATCATCTGAGTCAGCATCTTTAAGCTTAATATTCAGCTCTACTGCTTGAATTTCCCAGAAAATGTGAAAGCATATATGTTTATACAGTATAGATACCTTGTCACATTGCTATCTCTCTTTAACAACTCTATGTGGGTACCTATGATAATTTGTTGTTGTTTTGCTCTTCACTCTTCAGTGCTCTCTTATCATGGTGTCATCTTAATGGACATGATTCTGCCTTAAGTAAGATAAATAATCTTCTTGATGTGATTGGAAAGCATGAAGAAGATGTGCTTAAGTGTCTGAATTCTGTTGAACAACAGCCACACCTTGGACACATTTTAGATTCTGTTCAGGACATGGACCTCAATCACACAGCTCCAACTGAGAGAGAATATAACAAAGTTAAAGCTGGAAAACATGAAGACATTGGCACCACTGCTGAAAACAGTTGTAGGAATATTGGTGAAGTTGGTTCCTTGCAGTCTGAGTGCAACACAGCAAAACTTTGCACAGATCCTGATAGGTCAACTCTTGCTTGGGTTAAAAAGCAGACTGTTTGGCTAGTAGAGCAACTGGGCTTATCACTGGATATACTCCATCATGTCCAGCAACTGGAAAACTAGTTTCTCTGTTTCATTTTATTTAAAATTATCTCAACTGGATTTGATATTGAGTTTGTGGAATATGTACTGGCTGGTGCATCACTTCATTTTAAGGAAATCTGATTTTGATGCTTCACAGTGGAGGTAATTTCTGTAAATCTTCACTATGCTTTGGCTCCTTGCAAAAAAAAAAAACCCTTGCTTTCAGTCTTACACATAACTTTCACAGTAAGGGTAAATTACTTTTAAAGCTCAATAAATATTTACTAAACATGTTCCTGTTCTGTGCCAGAAGCTATCATTTCACCCTTGCTTTCTCTTTTGTTAGCAGTTTGGAATTGGAGCAGGTCCTTTAAATAGCCCCTTGAAATAGATTCCCTCCAATATCTAAAAAATAAATGACCAGTGTAATGGACAAACTATTCTTGCAGAATAAGCTGCTGTTGATTGTATGCTAACTCTATGCAAAACAGGACAGGATTTTCTGCTGATTTCTAGAGTGCTGTGACTCTCTAGTCAGTATATAAAATACAGGTATTTTTCACCTTTTGTCAAATTCTTCCTCTTTTGTGAACACTATGCAGTGCACTTTCACAGTTAAAAACTGCTTTTTCCCTCCTCGTACAGTTCTGTTTTCACTTCTACTGAAAACACAACATACTCTTAAAAATGCTGAATCACTGACAATTCCATTGTTTTACTATTAGGCCATCTACTCTACTGAACACATTTCCAGTCTAAAGAACTTCCTTGAGTTATTTTTGTATTTATTTTGCCAGTCCCTCTAGCCTGAACTCTCTCCCTCATTCCCAGTGTTTTTCCCAAACTCTTCAGGGAATCCTCCTTTTCCTGTTGCTTGCCTTAACTGTAGTTGCAACTTGCTGTGGTCAAGAAGGCTTTCATTTGTGAATGCCTCTATTTTACACTAATTAAACTAATTTACAATAAGTTATTAGCTTACTTGCTTGAATTTGATTCTAACCTTCATATCTGAGACTAAGCAGGTCTAGACAGAGACAAACTGAACTTTGAATAACTGACCTAACTGTACTTAAAAAAAAAACACTTAAATCACAAAACCAAGGCCAGAAGAGAAACTAAGGTGAAAATGACTTTATTTTCAGAGGCTGACTTTACAATTTTAGTAAGAAAGACTCTATTATCCTGTCACTTGCAGACTTTTAAGTTTGGATGCCATTCAGTACCACTGCTGCATTAGGGCAAAAACAAGAACTGAAATTAAGAGTATCTTACTGAACTTGTTTCTGAAATACTGAACAAGTAAAGCTGTCTGCATTCATTAGATATGTACACAACTTAAAACAGCTTTTATTTTTCTCAATTCATTTAGCATAATGTTGACATGGATAAATATTATTTTTCGACGGGTACGTGTGTTACGTTACAGTCAGAGAGAAGTTTTGTCCATATTGTGGTAGAATATGGTGCAGACAAAAATAAAGGTTAATAAAGCAATGTTAGACTTTCCAAATTTGGAAGTTTAAACATACAAATTCAAGAGTACAACTTCTGGGTACTGAATAGTGTGCAAAGAGGAAACTCCATTCACAAATTATTAAATAGACAGTGAGCTTGCCAAATTCTCTCCAGCTAATTCTGCAAAAGCAATCTACCCCAGGGAAAGTATTTCCCTCTTGTTTGATTATCAAACAATAGATGGTGTGTTTTACTTATCTGTCATAACACCTTCTGTAATAGCTGGGGAACCTTCTTCCTCTCTGCACAAAGTTTCTGTGCTTTCTGTGGGGTTACTTTTTTCCATGTTGTCACCTGGAGTTTCCAGTTTGGCTGTGGAGAGATTTTCTTTTGGGCTGTCTGTAATACCTGACTTAGCTGTCACTACCAAATCCTGCTGCTCAGCCACAGGCAGACTTTCTTCAAGACTACTGGAATCCAGAATTGTCTCACAGGGTGGTTCAGGTTTTTGTTCTGTATCTACTTCCATGTCTTTTGTTTCTCTATCAGCTTTCACCTTGGCAGTGTTCCTGAAAATAGCTCTCATGACAACTGGGACGGACATGCAACTGAAGGAGGAAATGAAACATTAGTTACTGTTACAGACTTCATCCATTCTTCAACATACTACTTTTTTTAGACTATGCCTGGCATCTGAATGATAGGTGTGGTGGAAAACAGTGCTATCTCCCTGCATTTTTTTGTGTTGTACAACCTAATTCCATAATAATTCCATTATAGCTACAACATAACCACATGCTATAATGGAAAGGTGTGTTGACACAATGAAATCAAGTGCTGGATCTTTGAGCCTCCTGTTGCAAAGGAGCTTTGATACAAAAGTGGGAGGGTTTGGTAAAAAAAAAAAGTTTAAAAGGTCCAAAGGAGGCTTTTAATGAAAACCTAAACTAATTGAAAAACATTAATTCTTGCTGAATTTTATAGTTATAACTTTTATGCTTTGTATAAGATGGGTACAGAGCATATCTTCCTGAAAATACTAATTAAATCCAGCCTGCATTGATCTTGCTGTCATCAAATAGATAATATTTGTATACTAGCTCATGTCAAATTTAATAGTGCACTCAGTCCTTTCTCTTGCATATGTTGAAATACCACAGCAACTTGCCTCTTTGAATTTGCTTCAGAAAGCCAGCCAGAGACAGTGTTGTAGACGTGCCATATACACCTCACTTCTTGAAAAGCAGCACTGATTGGTATTGGGTAGGTGTGGAAAAAGTCCTTTCCTTGCTATTCTAAATTATACCAGTCATAAGACTGTCATCAGCTACAGTCTTCAGAAAAGCATGTTTACAAAAGAAAAAAGCATATTTGTAAAAGGTAAAACCCTTTGTTGAGAAGTGTTTTCCTGCTCCATGTGCTTTCTACTAGAAACACTTCCCATCACTACTAAGGTTTAAAATTTTTGAAAGAGCTGCTTAAGACACTAAACTTATTCTCACATTTATATTATAACTTGGTACTAGAGTGAAGTTTTCTGGTTGCTGAGTTTCTGGCAATGTACGTGGTACTTCCATTAAATGGATATCTGAGGTTCATTCGAAATACTACCAAAAAAAAAAACAACTCCTTACCGCTTCACTGCTTTTGTTATGAAGTCATCATTATAATTTAGAGTCGGATCTTGAGGATTTAAATTAAGGCGACACTGAATTTCTCTGGAGGTTATAACATCAATTATCACTAAGAAAGACCAGAGTGTAAGTATTTTAAAACGCACATTTTACTAAACATTGAAAACCATCCTTTCGTTCTAATGCTTCAGTAGAGTTAAGACTGAAGCCAATGGGATTGGACTCTCATGTAAGACTTGCTTTTTTCCTAATATACTTACATTAGAAAAAAGTTACAATGTATTAATTAACTGCAGGCTGAGATAGAAAGGTTTTCAGTTTTTGCATTTACTTTCTGTTTTATGCTGATTACAGAATTATTTTTAGAAAGCAATTTATACAAAAGTGCTACTTTGTGCTTTTCATAGGCTGCACGTCATTGAGAATGAATTTATAATCCAAAAGCATAGTGCAACTACCAAATTCCTTGTCAGCCCAATAAAGAGGACAGTAACAAGTATTCCACACATACCACAGACTAAATTCTCTGTCACAGGATGAAGGAAGAAGACAGAAAAGCTGGTGTTCTTGTGTGGTAGCACTTCAAAGTAAAGCAGTTCTGAATCATCTAGAAATAAAATTAATATTTAGTGATATCCACCCATTGAACCTAGACTCTTTTGGGCTGAATCACATGCCAGAATTTTAAAAATATTGATACAGTAGAATCTAATTATTCATTACTTTGGCACTTTAGTTTATGCTTACAGAAGTGTGAGGCCTCAGAGGTTTAAATATATGTGTGTATTCAATAGAGTGAAATATTAGAATTAAGGATTTTTTTTGTCATTTAAAATACTTCACAAGTAATGACAGCTTTGGCAAAGGAGCACTAAATCTGTTAACACCCAGCTTAGAAGCTAGTTTCTCTCTAATACTCTGCCATTTCTTCCAGCCATGCAATTTACCTTCATTTATATGCTCCTCAGAGACACAGCTGCTAATCAAACTGTTATATGCCACTTGATGTCGAAGAATCTCTATTATGCCTGGCACGCACTTTGGGTGGCTAAATGGGATTTTACTGACCAAGGCTCCAGCTAAATCTGATTTTTCTGAGCCCTTGTTTATGAAGTAACAGTGCTTTGGGCAATCTGGAAAAGACTGAACAACAAATATGGTGATATTTCAAGCACTGAAAACAAGAATGTAAAGCTTTAAGTTACCAGGCGACTGCACAATCTGACAGCAAAAATAATTTTGGAAGACACACTTCTAGCGTGTCCATCATGTGTATCTGCATTTCAGTAGAAATGCAATCATTAGAGGAAGTTAAATTTGATCTGCTCTCCCTTCCAAATGTGTCCAAATTAGACGAATACACCCAGAGCCAAGTGTTCAGGAGTTCAAGTTCTTCCAACTACTCTGAAGAGCCCTGTAGGCTATAGAAATGCTAAAAACCAAGATCTCATTGTAGTGCTGCTTGACAGTTCTACAAATAGGATAGCAGTTCTGCCTGAGATCTCTTCTGGACATTGTATGCTGTCCCTTTCTCCATCACTAGTGTTTCCTTTGGAGAAGCTTCATTCTTCGAAGAAGCTTTGGAGACAATTCATTTGAGGAGGAGGAGATAGTAAGAAATATTTGCCACCTCTCCATGTTGACAGTGATTCTCAAACAAAATTAGAAGTGCAATATTGTGTTACCTACTTCAGTATGCCAAATGGCAACTGTTACCTTAAGACTAGGGCAGGGAAGTGAGTTACATTAAGCAAAGCTGAAGAGCAGAATAAAAGAGCTTTTCATCATGTGTCCACAGAGCAAAAGGGTTTCCTCAACATTCCTTTCAAGGTTGGAATTCAATTTAGAAATTTATTTCTAGAAATAAAATCTTTAAACTCAGAAGAAAACTGTCTTCCAACAAGTACTAATATTATAGAGAATTGTTAAAGAGTTACAAAGCTTTTCCTG